AGCCCATTTTACCCTTGAGGAACAGATCTTCAAATGACCTTAAAAGTAAAAATAAATTGGTTTTTCTGGGCCAACTTTAGGGTGTTAAACACCCAAAAGGAAAGTATAACCAAAGATTGATGGGGTCAATATAATTTTAAGAGTTCATATGTATAGCTAAAGGCTACCTAACAATAAACAATGCCAGATGGGAGATACCTTCCTTTGAGTTATTGGTCATGGTGGCCCAAAAGACTCGAAGACAGTACCCCAGCATAGAACTGAGAAAATGAACAGCAGACCCCAATCTTATCTAAAGGAATATTGACAACTGATTGCTGCTAGATGAGAAACAGCTGATCTTCCTAAAACAAGATCTCTAGATAGGCTGACTAGATTCAACAGAGAGGCAAGCACTGGGGAATGGCTGGGGGTGCCAACAACACAGTGGATAGTAACAGGGATGACAGAGTATATGGGCTCCAGTGTATTGGAGGGGAGAGGCTATGGGAGGGGGCCATTTGGGAAGTTGGTATATAGATGAATAAGATTGTGTGGAATTTTCTGCATGATATACACACAAAAATATAAACAATTTTTTTTAAAAAGACATATTTTAGGAGGAAGCATAGAATTTTACTTCATGTTAAATAGTAGAGTTGATAGACATTACTAATGAAATCTACTTGATGACTTTATAGCCATACTCAGGTACTAAGGATCCAAATGTAACCAACTGTGACTAGTAATAATCAGATACATAGAGATTAAAGACACATGTGCAAACATCTAAGTGTTAGTAGCATTAAAAATGTAGGAAATAGCATATTTTAAAATTAAATGGAGATCTTCTTTAAAGGGTAAAAAATCATTCAATTTTATGTCTTATAGGGTTTATACTGGGTTCAATATTGTATAATTCTATTAATTCAACTGTGAACCTAAAAATTTACAGCCGCTTTTGAAAAAGATGTATCCTTGCCCTGGAATGTGTTACTGAATATGTTAAAGCTGTAATGAAATGCTTCTTCTAATCATGTGGTTATTAAATAAATAATTTTTAAAAAAAAAGAAAGCCTAGAAATAAGCCCAGGCACACTTGTTTAACTGAGTATGACAAATACACAATGAGAAAAGGAGAGTGTTTCCAATAAATAGGGTTAAAGACAAACCTTGCATCTAAGTACAAAAGATGAGATTGGATCCATATTCCATACCATACATGGAAATCATCTTAGTGAATTAAAGACATGCATGTGAGACTTGGAAGCAATGAAAGCCCCAGAAGATAGCTCAGAGGAAACATTCCTTACCATTGTTTTTTTCAGTGATTTTTTTTTCAATATTATACTTAAAGCAAAGAAAGCAAAATAAAAACAATGTCATGGTTGGCTTCAGTTGTCAACTTGGCACACCTGGAAATAGGGAACCTCAACTGGGGAGTTTCCTCTCTCAGATTTGCCTGTGGGAAAGTCAGTGAAACCCTTTTTTAAAATTGTTGAGTGACACAGGAGGGTACATCCTACTATGGGTGTTGCCACCACTGGGCTGGTGGTCCTAGATTGTATAAAAAAGCAGGCTGAGTACAGGCCAGTGAGAAGTGTCTCTCCGTGTTCTTTACCTCAGCTTTTGCTGCCACGTTCCTGCCTTGAGTTCCTGCCCTGAGTTCCTGCCCTAGCTTCTCTAGATAAAGGACTGTTTTATAAGCTGAGAAAACAAAACCCTTTCCTCCCCAAGTTGATTTTGGTGAGTGTTTTATCACAGCAATCAAGCAGTAAACTGAACAGATTAACAATTTGGACTGCTTCCAAAAAACAAACAAACAAGCAAACAAAAGTTCTTATAAAGCAAAGTAGCAAATTCAAAGGAAATTTACTTTTTAAATTTTACTATTTTTCTTTTATGTGTATAAGTGTATTGCCTGCATGTGTGTAAGTGCACCCATGTTGTACAATGCTTGTGGTCAGAAGACACCAGATTCCCTGGAACTGGTGTTACCAATGGTTGTTAACTACCATCTGCAAGCTGGGACCCAAACCTGGGTCCTCTGCAAGAGCAGTCAGTGCTCTTAACCACCAAGCCATCTTTCCAGCCCCCAACCCAGAGGTCTTGATCTTAATGATCAGAGCTTTCATTCCTAGCCTCCGTGACCCAGCTCAGCAAGTGCGGAAGACAGCAGGGCTGGTGATGACCCACTTGATCCTCAAGGACATGGTGAAGGTAAAAGGACAAGTGAGTGAGATGGCCGTGCTACTCATTGATCCTGTGCCTCAGATTGCTGCCCTGGCCAAGAACTTCTTCAACGAACTCTCCCACAAGGTGAGAGAGTAAGAAGGTACAGCCTAAGGCTTGCTGCAGAAGAGGAATACATATAGGTCACCCCATCTATCTCTTATCATCATCTCCTCTCCTCTCCTCCCCGCCCCCCCACAGGGCAATGCTATCTATAATCTCCTCCCAGATATCATCAGCCGCCTGTCAGACCCAGAGGGTGGGGTGGAGGAGGAACCCTTCCACACCATCATGAGGTACAGTGCTCTAGGATTTGGGGCACATTTTTCATGTAGCAACAGATTTAGGAACCAGACGCACTTTGAATCATAGCTCTGTTTGATTGATTGTTTGACTGCCTGGGTGCAATGCTAGGAATGCATCCAGGGCCTTGCACATGCTAGGCAAGCACTCTACCAGTGCTCTCAGCCCCAGCAGTGCTACATTTTGGCAGTTTGACCCCTGCTTGCCTGGTTCCCCTAATACCCACTATGAGACTAGTAGGAGGGATAACTGAGATTTCTGGAGTTTGTTTGTAAAAAATTACCAACCCCAGTCACAAAAGAGTTCTGCACTTGCAACCTAATCCCTTCCCAATGACACTCCTTTTAATAACATTTCTATGTGGTTAGGAATTCAAGAGATTTGAATTTTAGAAAGACACAAAGACTTAGACTATGTCAGTGTGGGAGCTGAACTAGTCACACTCACAGAAACAGAGAGCAGACTGGTTGGGTATCAGGCCAGTGGGACATGAGGCAGTAACTTTTAGGATAGGAAACTTGCGCTTATGAAAGATAAATCTCAGAGCCCTACCATACAGCATCATACCTATAGATAATGGTATGTATACTTAAAATTTGATGGCAAGATGGATCTTCTATAAAATGATCTTGCAGAATGAATGTTATTGATAACAAAGGAGATAGAACGAAGGCAACCTGGAGATGTAACAGGTGTTTTTGTGGCTTTGCCAATTGTGATGTTTTCATAAGTATCTTAGTTCTGTGTCAAGGCTGGTTACTTTACAAGTAAAGGGTTATTTGGATCATGATTCTGGTAGGTGTAAAATGCTAAAGCATGACACCCCTATCTGTTGAAAGGTCCCACAACTGTTTTATATAGAAATCAAGGAAAATGACCACAGGCATATGGGGCAAGCATGAGGAATTGCATCAACCTGAACATAAAGTGCTAGTCAAGTTCTACCAGAACTAGAATTCCTAGGAGGCAACATCAATCCTTTATTAGGATGGCTCCACATGACCTCACTTCCACTGAGAACCACATCTTAATGTTTATACCAACTTCACAGGGTCACACTGAGTGCTGAGTCTCCAAAACATCAGTCTAACTGAGGGAAACCCAGGGCTGCATCACAGCAATGGAAATGTCCTATTCCAACTTCATCAAGACACACGCATTCATGTGCACTGCTTTTTATACGTCAGCTCTGCTTCAGTAAAAATGGGCTAACAAATACGTCAAAAATAAGAACTAGGGGCTGGCTATTTGAGATGGCTCCTTAAGTAAAGACACTAGCCACAAAGCCTGATGACTGAGTTTCACCCTGTGACCCACATGGTGGAAAGAGACCACTGACTCTCACAAGTTGTGTCCTCCATTGGCACATCATGGTAGGTATACTGTACATACACACACAAACACACACACGTTGCATGTGCGCACAAGCGATGCATGCTAAATAAACAAACTAAAAATTTTAAATATAAAAATAGGAA